ACATACACTTGTGTCGCATGCAACGCTCAAATGCATTTGGAACCAACTTGTGTTGGGTTGTCTCTAGTGCCCATAAATGGAATAAAAGAACTAGGGCCGATTGTCATGTTGCTTTGTAATACTTGTGTGCAAAATAATGAACGAGACAACTTTATAAGATGCAAAACCCTGGCCAACATAGACGAGAAGCTCTCAAACATTGATGTAACTGAAAGCCTTAAAAGCATGGAAAGAATACTTACCGATTTAGTAGATCAAAAAATTGGAAATGCAATGAAAACGACATGCGATAAAGTGGAAAAAACTTATAGTGCCGTTGTAGCTGCTGAAACCACCACCCGGATAAATCAAGCTCAAACCACTCAACATGCTGCCAGATCTAACTCTGATCACAACATAAATCAAAGTTTTAGGATACAAGGGGTCAAAGAGGACCCTGAGAAAACAAAAGGAGAAAACCTTGTCCCAACAAATGACGAAGTAAACGATATACTAGACATAATTGGAGTGAAGCCGAAAATAATAGAACTAAAACGACTGGGAAAATTTGATCGTAATCGAATGAAGCCAAGAACTCTGCTGGTAACTGTACCTAGCGAACATGAAGCACGACTAGTACTAGCAAAAAGCCGAGAAAAGCGAGAACAAATGGTCGAAAAAAAGGTCTACCTGCTACCAGCATTGACCAAAGAGAGTGCAATTAAAGAGAACGAAATCCTTAAGAAACGAAGACAACTACTAGATGAAGGCGTTCCTCGCAAAAAGCTGAAAATAAGGAATCTAGAATTGTTCAATGATGGTGTGAAAGTAACTATTGACACTGAAGTTCAGGAACCCCAGCATTGACTAGGATTCCTCAACATTCTGCAACTAAATACTAGAAGCCTAATCAACATAGAGAGAAGAACTAAGCTAGCAAATGCAATTGCAGTTGGAAATTTTAATGTCATATGCTTAAGCGAAACTTGGCTTAACGAGAATATTCAATCATCAGAGCTTTTTCTAAGTGAATATAAAATCTATAGATCTGATAGAGCTATTGTGAGTGGTAAAAACTGTCACGGAGGCAGCCTAATAGCTGTCAAGAATAGTCTAATTACCGAGGACTTATCCACCAAACATGACATTCCTGATTCATGTGTGCTATGTAGTATAAAACTTCATCAAACTGAAATGATAATTGGCTCATTCTACAATCCGCCAAAAAACAGTAATTACAGATACAAAGGGCACGAATTTGAACAACTGATCAAAGCCATTCCTAAAAACAAACCGCTTCTCTTATGTGGGGATTTAAATTTCCCAGAAACAAACTGGAACACCCTCACCAGTACTGACGAGGAAGAAAACCAAATACTGCAAATTTTTGAAAATGGACTCTTTAGGCAGGCGATAGATTTCCCAACATGTGTGAAGAACATACTAGACGTAGCCTTCTATCGGAATTGCTATACAAGTGCCGAACAAGATTTTAACGTTTCCAAGATTTATGACTGCTCAGATCACAATGCCATAATGTTGTCTATTGAGTGCACGGTATCAGAGCCGAAACCATACTTGGAAAATTTTAGAAGTTTTGGAATACCGATTTTGAAGGAATAAACAATTTTATAAACGAGAACCCATTTGAACCAGTATGCCACACAAACATTAACAAAATGCATGAGGAGTACACCCAATATTTGGATGAAATCATTAAGAATTTTGTGCCTCTCAGAACAAGACATAGGAAATCACTTCCACCTTGGATAACTAGTAGCACTTCAAATTTGATCAAAAAGTTACAAACAAAACGGCAATCATGTATACTCAAACCGACCAACTACAGAAGACAACAAGTTAAACTGTTTGAAAATTTAGTAACTGAATCATCGGAATTGGACAGGAAAAACTACCAAGAGGAATTGTTTAGAACACGGAACACTAATGTAATTTTTAAACACCTAAAGAACTTGAATAAACATACAAGTCTTCCTAAGTTAATCATAAAAGATGAAGTTGAAAGCACAAATCCAAACGAACAAGTCAACATGCTAAACGACTTCTTTCATTCAGTTTTTAATCCTAAAGAAAGTTTTAGTATTAGAGATATTCAATTTGAAAATCCCTTGTTAACGAATTTTGATATATCGAAAAAGACAGTAAGTGAGATTTTATCAACTCTGGACGTAACAAAGTCACGCGGCCCAAATGGGTTGCCACCTAGCTTTTTTCAGAAAACGAACCGCAATATATGCAAACCGATGAACAAACTTTTGAGAAACGTAAAACGCCTACGAAAAATACCTGATTCATGGAAAACAGCTGCAGTTACTCCTGTTCACAAAAAAGGTGACCGAAAAATGGTGAACAACTATCGACCAGTATCGCTATTAAATATTGACAGCAAAGTCCTTAAAAAATGTATATACAAAGACCTGTACCCTTACTTTGCCTGGTATTTGACGAAACATCAACACGGTTTTACTAAAGGTAGATCAGTTTTGACAAACATGCTCTCTTTCCTGAAAGAAATATATGAAGCGCTTGACAATGACTCAAACGCAGAAATTGTAGCAGTCTACACTGACTTTACAAAAGCCTTTGATAAAGTTCCGCATTTTGATCTACTTAAGAAAGTTGCACTTATAGGAATAGGAGGCTGCATGTTAGAGGTACTCTATGACTATTTGAAAAACAGGAAACAGTTTGTACGAGTAGACAATATCAGCTCAAAAGTTTTAGAAGTCACTAGTGGTGTTCCCCAAGGATCACTTTTAGGACCACTGCTCTTTTGCATTTTTATTAACGACCTACCTGAAGTACTCCAATTCTCTGAACCATATATTTCTGCGGATGATCTTAAACTACTTTCCATCAAAAAAACATCAATTGAAATTCAAGAAGATCTGGACAAAATTCAGCAGTGGGTAACTGAAAACAAAATGGAATTAGCACTAGATAAATGTGCAAAAGTAAGTTTTAGGGGCGGAGACGCTAACTCTATGCTTTTTGGTGTAGTGCTTGGAACATCGATGTTTGTGAAAGATCTGGGAATTTTTGTGTCGGGCGATTTAAGTTGGAAGGTACACATTGAAACAAGATTAAAGAAGGCAAACCAAGTACTGTACCTCCTGAGAAGAAACCGATCAGCAAAGATGAATACGTTTGTAAAGTTAGGCCTGTATAAGTCACTAATACTCCCAGTGTTATTATACGGACTCTCATGTACACATATATCGAGGGGGGATCAATTGCAGTTGTAGCGATTTCAAAAGAAAGTAATCCGTTGGATCACTGGAAATAAAACGGGAGTGTACATCAACGAACAACGCTTGCTAAACATTTTACCCCTGCCCATGTTCATCCAGCTAAATAACATCTTACTTCTTGCCAGTCTTGATTCTAATGAACGAAATGAAATAGTGTTAAACAGGCGAACCACACGGGCTAGAAATACAGAAATTTTTGAGATGCGAAAAGTGAGAAAGGAAAAAGCGAGAAACGAATTTGTTTTCAGAACCAGTAGGATTGTAAATCGATTAGAACCATATATTCATTTTGATAAACGAATCGGCCTCAAGACGAGAATTTTAAACACGATGTGGAAATTTGTAAACGAGAGATTTTCAGAAATGACAACGTGCACGTGGCAATTATTCTGTGATTGTATCACGTGCAGAAACAAGTGGACATTGTTGTAGAGAAGACGCCGGGACCAAGAATCCCAACAGCAGTGCTGTGAATCCCCAACAACAACAACAACTTTTGAATTTTGCAACTACTTTTTAACGCATGATTTTTTCTAATTTTTTTGTAAAGCTTTCATGCTTTTATATAAAGTGATGCAAGTAAATTGGATCAAGTTAATGAAATTGAAACAGATTAGATACCGAAACGCACAATCAGATCAACTAATTGAGCGAATTGATACTGATAATCCTCAAATAAAAAAAATTATGAGCAAGCTTTTGTGCTATTAAAATAAGCTATTGTAAGACTGCTCGCTCGCTTTATTCACTCGAATTAAGACAAAACCAAAAATTTTAAAACATTTTTCTCGATACAGTTTGAAACTTTTTAATGTCGTTCGAATCACGACTGAAAAGGGCGTTAATAAGATATATCACTCAATTCTCTCCAATGGTTATTTGTGGTAGATTATTCGGAAAAAATTATCCGAATCATTCTCACGAGCCCAGCCGATCAGCAACTTGAAGAAGACTATCCCTCAAAATATTAAGTTTTGCCCGTACCAAAAGGGAGGCCAAAATTTTTGCCTTTGCGTTCTCGCCAGTAGCTTTAGTTCGAAATTGTTATTGAACGTTTGTGAACTCGCCTAACTTTTTGGTTTTGAAAACTCGATATCCACAATTGCGAAAATCTACAGAATACTTTGAAAAAATTTGGCTGGATTTTTTCCGATCAAGTTCTGTAATGGTTTCGATAGAGAGCCAAACTTCCTAACCACCAACTGCTGTATAGGAAATAGGAAGAAAGTGTTCGATTTGGCTCACAGTCAAGAAATATAAAGCTGAAGAGTGTTTTGCGTAAGAAGCAATTTAAATTTTCGAATCGGGTCAAGACCTACCGAGACAATCGAAAAAAATTACCAAGAAAAAATGGTCAAATAACAGCACTCCAACTGTCTTTTCAATAAAGAAATTTTAATATATAGGACTATTTTTTTTTGGCTATTTGGGAACGAATTTATTTTTCGGCTATCCGGGAGTAATTTTTTTTCGGCTAACCGGGTATTCGGCTCCGTGACACGCCACCGTCTGAACAACAATTTTTTGTTGAAAGTTGGTGTTGGTTTATATGAACAGATTTTTTTCTTACATTTGAGTTCCGTAGTAGAAGTTTTTTGAAAACTTCTTTATTCCCAAGGAGGAGCTGAAAATTTCAAAACTAGTTGGACTAGAGTAAACTAAATGTTCGCGGAGTAAACGTTTTTTTGCGCGGTTTGATGTTTCCGTATTTTTTTCTCGATGAGATGCCTATTGATTTAGTATTTACAGATTGTTTTTGATGTTATGGACATTGACCCTCTTTTTCTCGATGATGATAGTTTTCCCCCTGGTGATGGAAACTTGAATTCTGTTACAAGTAGTCGAAGCATGGAAAACGGTACTTCTGCATCGCAATCACGGAGTCAATCTTCCACTGCTCAGAAGAGTTATGCAAGTACGTTGCTCGATGATATTGTGGGGCTTCCACCAGAGTTGCAAGATGGAAATGATGCTATTGCAGATGACGAAATTGAGCTTTCAGCGCAAGAGGTGAAACCTAGGGTTCTGAAAATTAATAAGCCTTACTTATAGGTCATGGCATGCAGCTATATAGCTTCAGACCCTCAACCTAGGCAGCTAGCGGATAATTAAGTCATTCCAAATTAAGATTCAGACCACTTGCGAGAGTGATCTGAACAATAAGAAAATTAGACTTGTCGGACTTAGGTCTCAAAAAGAATTAGCTTTCAGACAAGGATTAAATCACACTGAATTGTAAAAAGACGTAATTTTAATTTCCTCAAATTATGATTATAGGTCATTAATCAGTTAAAAACTGCCTGGATCAACGAGAGGTTTGCTCCAGACTTGTTGGACTCCAAATATGAGTTAGTGACTTGCCTGCTTGACCAGATTAGCTCCATGGGGCGTAAATTAGAGAGAGTAGCCGGTCTGATCCGGGAGAGAAATGCTAGTACTTCGTCCGTTGATTCGGATCATCTTCGCATGGAGATCCACCAGATGGAAATTCAGAGGATTCGATATCTTGTTTCTAGTTACCTCCGACTGAGACTAAACAAAATTGAACAGCACGTGTTTTATTTACTACAAGTAAGTTTATATTTCTCATAATCTTTGTGTTTTTAACAATAATGAACGTCTCAGGAAAAAGTCTTAAAATCTGTTCACGCTCAATTTTGATTTTTCGCGGTTTGACTTGTGATTTTGTAAAGTTCAGTGCATTTCTATTGTTAAAAGGAAGGCAAACTCCTATCGAACAGCAAAATTGTAACAGGTCACGAAAAACGTGATCGACTTCCAATTTTGAAAATGGAAGTTAATTATCAGATATCCCAGCGAAATAAAAATTTTACCTATTAATCCAGTTTTCTCAAATTGGGTTAATTTTAACAAAAACGTGTCCATCATAAATTGTTCTACAAATTCACTGAGTTTTAAGGCCATCTAATTTTTTATTCGAAATTCAAAAGTTGAAGATTTTTGAAAAATTAAGTCGGTTTGTTTTTCAGTTTCCCTGCTTTATTACTTTTTTTCCAACTATCATTTGGTTATATTATTAGGTTTTCATCCGAGGTTGTTTGCATTTTAAAATTGCCTGGAAATGTGCGAAATGTCTACAATTTTTAAATTCTTTGATGCAGTTTTGTTTTATTGTTCCGCCCATTTCATGAAGTGGAAAGGAACTACGTTCTATAAATGGTTTTCCTTATTTTTGGCTACCTCAAAGAAAGGTAGTACAGCGGCAAATGTGGTATATTATTGAGCCCTATTAGTCGTGAATTTGATTCCTAGTGAAATATGAAAAAATCTCAAGAAGTGTCAAGAAAAATTGGAAACAAAAATTAAAAACTAAATGTAAATCAAATTTCAATTTCAGAAACTCTCCAACTCGATATACTTCGAGAAATTTTTGAAATGCATAAATTTTACGCTATTTGGTTTAAATCACTATAATTTTTTACATGCAAATTTAGTGTTATTGCCTTTAGTGACATTCCAAATTGGTACAACCAAATTTTGAGTTTTTGTGCATTTTAAAGCTCTTGAATCTTTACCGCTTTCTCGCTGATGTTTGCGGACTTGCAGCTTTGCCTCTGTGTAAAAAATGTTTTGAATTTATTTAGTTCCAATGAACGTAGTGAAGGCACTTAGGTTTGATGATCTTTTGAGAATGTCGAAAATTTGATCTTTTGTTCGATTTTTGATTTCGTTTAACTTCAATTGAAGTTCCTTTGTTAAAGGAAGACAAATCACACTCTCTGATTACAAAAGCATAAACGGCAGCTTAAAAGTCAACGACTTCTAGTTTCGAAAATGGATTACAATTTAACAGATATCCACTATTCTACAATTGGGTTGTATCAAAAAAAAATTGTCAATCATAAGCTGTTCTTGTAATTTAAAAAACTTTAGGGCTATATATTTTGTTGAAAATCGAAAATTGAAAAACGTTCGGTGCAAAGTCTGTTTTCAATCTCTGCGTTCATTGACACTTTTCTAACAGGCTGTTGACTATGTTTTTGAATTGTCTTGGTCGGAAAATTTTGTGCACAGGAAAATTGCACAGTAAAGATTGCGCATTGTTGCAGAGAAACATTATTTTTTATCAAAAATGTTAAAGATCAAAATGTGTGCTCAGACTCAAAAATTGTTAATTTTCATTTTCAAACATCTATTAAAAGTTATTGAACTTTCAAAATAGTTTTTATTATCTTTCCATAATAAACAAGCGAACTCTTGTTTCAGCAATACAGATCGCAACCACCACAAGCTTACAGCAAAATGTCACCAGAAGAGTTACAATTCGCCATCAAACTTGAGCAGCTGTACAAGACACAGTTACAAAGTCAGGTCTTGGATAAGCTTCCTCTTGGTATCCGGAAGTTGGAGGATCAGTTCCTGACACGGGAACCTAACCTTAACCACTACGTGTTTCTCAAAGTGAACCAAACACAGAAACAGGCAAGTAGTTACACAAATAGTTTGTTTGAAAACTCAACGCGAAAGAGGGTGACAGGTGCCACAACTAAACATAAGATTTGCCTTTGAAGTTTTTTTTTATTTGCAATGAGAACTTCTGAAAGTCGAGAAAAACGGTGAATTTTGAAGTTGTATTGAATCTAATTGGGCCTTAAGTCATGCTCCCCGTGTCAGAAAACCCCGAGTTGTGGCTCAAAGCTAACTTTACGACTTGGAAATAATAAAATATAAACGTTTTATTCCTTTTTTCTGTGATGAATTTTTTTTGTATTGTATTTATTTTTATCAAACCTTGGCGTGTTTTTAATGACCGAACTAATCAAGTCATTAATGACCGAACAAAACAAACTAGTTGTTAGGCTGTAGAGAGATTGGTGCTTTGGAATCGGTTTGTTAGGAAAATATTTGGAATCGGTTTGTTTCATAGGTGCTCATCGACGAAAATGACCCGGAGGGTGTTGTGGATTTGACAGAGGGAACTCAGTACCTGGTCAAGTACAAAACGATAGCGCCTCTCGTGGAAAATGACTCGCTAAGTCTCATTTGAATCGAAATGAATGAACTCTAGGCAATGGCTCTTTTGAGTTCCTCGTCACGAAAAGCGCAAAAAATGGTTCGCAGATTCTTTATTAAAGCTGTTGCTGTTGTACGTAGCAGTCCAGGACTTGGAAGCTGTTCATTAAAACCAGGGGCGGATCTAGGTTTTTTCAAGCGACCTTTTCTTAGGTCGATCAAGTTGATTTTCTAAGGTCTCTCAAATCACTATAAAGACCCTATTTCGACCAAATTTTATTTTAGAAAATAGGCCAAAAAAGCGTTTTTAGGCACGTTTTGGACCAGAGAATTACCTTCTTTCGGCGCGCGCACTCCCCTCATAATTAGAATACATTGGAGCCTCAAGAAAAATTTTTGGGTTATTCAGCGAAAAAGGATCTCTCAAAATAGTATTGGGTAGGCAGAGGGTCGGTCAAACCAGGGGCGGATCTAAGGTTTTCTCGATTGAGGGGGCTGATTTTCGAAAAAACAATTTAGAAAGTTTTTAGGGTTCGTCTTCAAATATGGATATCTCAAAATAGTACAAAGGGCGACCCTTTGGGTCGGCAAGGGGTCGAATCCCTGAGGGGGGGGGGAGAGGTGCCTAAATCCGCCCCTGGATCAAATCCCTGCCTAAATCAGACCAAAACGACCACAATTTTCACAAAGCTTGTTTTGACTGATTTTCGAACTACTTTATTTATTATTGGACTGCTGCAGTTTATTATGGGGCATTACATTATGTGAAATATTTAAAGTGTTTATTGTGAAAGTGTCTGATAGGTTGAAATTTGGATTGGTGATTGGTGCACTGAATTTGAAAATTATCCTAGTGTTAACTTAATAATGGCGAATATGCTTTCTTTCAATATTGAACGAAGTTAATATTTTTTGATCAATTTGTTCAAATATAAATTTTGACGATTGTTTGGGAGAATAATGTGTTGTTTTTGAAATTTGAAAATATAATTTGATCTCAACCAGTATTCAGTTACGACTCAGTCTTTTTATCTTTTCTAGCTTTAACAAGGTTAATGTTCCGAGCATTTGAAAATTTTTTGATTTTTGCTTAATTTAGGCAATGAAAACTTAGCATTACTTGAAAAAAGTTGGTTAGGGTTTTTTAGGCATTTGGAAGTTAAAACTGCAAAAATTCAAAAAAAAATTGATTTAGTCATTTTTCTATGATTTTGGCCTATTTTACCAAGATTGTCGAATAGTCTTCAGTTCCAATTTTTCGTTCAGATCATTTTATCACACCACGCAGATAAAAGCGACACTAATTTGAAGTTAAGTTTGTATTTTTTAGACTATGTCGGAACATTTTGTGCTACTTGCACAGCAACCGGCTATCCGTGTTTAAAATGCATTTTGCCCCAAAAGGCTAATAGTATTTCAACTGGCAAATCAGTGCGAGCTTAGACTTGTACAAGCACTTAATGAGGAAAATACGATGGTACGTATTATTTCACTGTCCAATTATGCGATTAAGAATGTCTTACGGAGAAGCATTTCCAAAATGTTGTCGGCATTCTTTATGTCAGCCATTTTGATTTAGCAGAGAAAATTGAAGGATATTGAAATTGTCTGCATGATCCCGAAAATGGTCATGGAGAATATGATTTTCATATTCAATAATAGCTTTTTTAGAAAACCTCTGCAATCTGTCTATTGTATGTAAAAATGCGGGCTTCATTATCTTCCCATGCTTAAGCTTTTCCAACGTGTTATTTTAACATGTTTAACGAAAGAATTTCTTTCACGTTAAAGCTGTATCGTAAATTGCAATGGTTGAGCATTTTTTAAGAGTCATGAACGTAGTGAAGACTCTTATATAGGTCTTGCTGTTTTTTTTTGTTTGTATTTTTTTGATCGGGAAAAAGGCTCAAAATATTGATGCACATAGGTTTAATGCACTTTTTGAGAGCAATTGAAGTTCATCTGCTGAAAGTGAAGTAAATTACACTCTCCAAATACGAACGTGGAAATGGCGCAAAACGTGAAGGTTTTCTAGTTTCGAAAATGGCATTTATTTTTCCCAGCGGAATAAAAACTTTATCAATTGATTCAGTATTCTCAAGCTGGGTTAATGTTATCAAAAAAGCGCCAATCATAAATTGTTCTAGAAATTTTTTCTTTGAAATTAGAAATTTTCAGGAAACTTAAATTAAAAAATAATCACGACCGTTGCAATTCTCTACCTGTACTTAGATGCTGTCAGGTACTTTCAGCTGTTACAACTCTTGCCTTAAAGTATGACTATTCAATTCCTTGATGTTTTCGAGTTATAACGAGTTTTATGATTTCTTTTTTAATTTTTAAGAAAGCTTAGTTTTTAAGAGTTCAAAAGATTTGTAATTCCCAACTTTGTAGCTGGATACTGCGAATGTGCTTTCAGGAGTTGGGTAAACTCGGGCTTCACTTACTCGGCCATGCTTAAGTTCTCACAACGTTTTATTTTTGCATGTTTAATGAAGGAATTTTTTCACGTTTAAGCTGTATCGTACTTTGCAATGGTTAAGTTTTTTTTAGATTTTCTAGTTTGAACGCGAGGGATCTTTCATAAATTTAAATGCCGGCTTAACTATCTTGCCGGCAAAAATTATAGGCAAAAATTCTGTGCAGTGTCAACTAATTCGACAAAAAAGCAGGCAAATGATGATCCGATTATTATTCTTTTTTCAGGTGGACAGTTTTCTTCGAAAAAAACACAGGCTAAATTTAAACACTTAAGTTGTTGTTCCAGGCATGAAGGTCAACTCTATGGAAAAACGATTATAAAATACATTTTCCATGAATAAATTTGTTCACAGATAAGTAAAATCAGAAAGAGTAAATGCACTCATCTCATGTACTACTTATATAAACTGTAATAAAAAATGTGGGCTCATACGTTTGCTGTGTAGGTGGTGCATGCTAATTATTGCAATATGATTTTTCTTAGCGTTGTTAAACAGTTTGGGTAAACTTCTGCTGTTTGTATGTCGGCTTCAACTCTCTCGGGTTGTTTCTCTCCAAAAACTGTCTAATAATTTCCAGTCGTGTCAGGTGATTTTGATTCAACTATTGCTTAAACTTGTTGGTTCTCTTTGAAAAATTTTTTTCCAACTTTGTTTAAGTTTTGTTTTTAATCCCTCTTCTTAAAATGTGTTTTAGTCATTTTTTGATTCAAATGGTTTGATGCTTTTCTACGGCTTGTGATAAGCAAGCGTTATCAATTGGGATTAAAGACTGTATACGAAAGTAAACAAATTGATCTTCTTAAGGTTAACTACTAGTTGAACAGAATTATTTGATTTGATATCCTGATTGATAATAAAGTCAGTTTTTATAGCTCCTCTACAGTAACCTTGGCCTAGAGGTACAAACTACTAGAAAGTCTAAAGGCCTAGGTTCGAATTCGGCCAGGGCTTGATTTTTAAATAAAAATATATAAGTTATATGTTTATGACTTAGTGGCTTTCATTTCATTTTGTCTGCTAGCTAGCAATGCTATGCTTGTCTGCTATCGCAAGTGTTGCGATGTTATGTTTCGTTGTTTTGTAATAAACTATTTTGATTAGAGTACTTTGCTTACTTTATATTACTGAAAATGTACTTTGTTTTAATTATAGAGTGTTTTATGAAAAGTTGCAATATAAATCCGCTTAGTTTGGGAGAACGCCATTAGGGCAGTGCGGCCAGTCATTTTAGGTGCCTCATTAAGAGGAGAACAAAAATAATTTTCCGTTTGTAAATCCTGTGGATTTAGTTAGAAGAAAATGAGGATGCCTTAAAATAACAATCTTTGATATTAACTAAATCCACTGTCTGTCTTCAAACAATTTTTTTTGTCATTTATTGTTTCTCTCCATAACCTTGAAACCGCCTTCGTAAAAAATTTCTACGATTCAATGAAAAAAGTTCTCTCAAAGCATTGCTCAAAAATTATTGTTTCGAACATTGATACCAAAATTTATGATTAAAACTTTTCAACTGAAAAAAGAAGCTTTCTTCATGAAACTGGCCCAGACGAGAAAATATTTTTAAACACAATTCAACATAATTTCGAAGTTCAGCTTTGATTGATCCTCTTGAGAATTTATTGTTAACTATAGCTACTTTTGATTTGTTCCTTTTGGTATCTTTCGTGTTTAACGCTTGTTCAGTTGTGGCTTCTCTCAAACTTGGCTCTTCGACAATTAATTTTTTGCGTGAAGTTCAAATTTTCCTACGCAAAAAAATTCAAGTAAAATTTTTATGCATTATTTTAATAATTTAATCCATCTTGCGCTGATGGAAAATACTTCTAATTCTGACTTTCATTTGCAGTTCTAACAAATTATTTTTGTCCGTGTTTTAATAAGCTAAGTATCCAGTTTTGAATGATTGGTTGAACATAACAACTCAAGGAAAGTTATAACTGCGGTCCTATTAAAGTTTTTATCAAATTAAAAAAGCTCCACTAAACTAAAACGCTTCATTTTCTACCTGATAAAGGATAAGATGAAAATTCAGTTTACTGTTCAGATGAGTTCCGAGATATTTAAAAGACGTTAGTTTTCAGAAATAAATGGCACAATTATTTGAAATTGAATTTCGATATGCTCTCGAATGGGGTTTTTCTTTGTGTTCGATGGGTGCCATTCCTGCGCAACCATTTATTTTAACTGGCAGTTTCTTTAATCAAAAATTTAAATGGTTGGTGTTCATGTAGGGCTGGTGTTAAAAATAAAGGTCTGCTTATGAAAGGTTCGAATGAGTAACCCCTTTTGGAGCCGTACATTTTCTACTGAATAAAACTCTTTATTAGGCTTGCGATTAGTGAGCGTTATCAAATCGAAATGTAGACTTTTTCGGGTTAACAACTTGTTTAACAGAATCACTTGGTATTTTGGCTCATAATGAATTTAAGTTTGTAAGCGTCTCAGGCACACTGAGTCTGGAGGAAGCGAATACGCCTGGGATAGCTGTTTTTTTTTTTTAAAAAAAAAACCAACGGGAGATATTCCGTTAAAAAAATTGTCTGCTTATGTTTTTCGGCTTAGCTTCCACATCTTGCAAATGTATTTTTTAGTGTGCGCAGTTTTTCTTTTAGTTGCTTTTTATATATCATTTTACTCCTGCAGTTTGTAATTCTACTAACCTTGACTTCGTATATATTTTGTTTTTTTTTTCGCTGAAAAATTTTGTCGGAGTATATGATTTGGACTTATATTTACTCGGTTTGAGGGAACCATAATTTGCATGCTTTCCTCCGGAGCGCACAAAACGCTAAAAATCTCAGAATAGAATTTATAGTTAAAAGTTTTTCATGACAACAATTTAATTTCTCTTGATAATTGTTTTTGAATTTTTATTAAACGCTTTTTATGAAACATCATTCCTGACAACATTTTGAAGTTTTTTTAGTTGTGGTTTTTCCGAAGCTTTTTTTCCGTTTTTTTAAATTTACTGGCTCTCCTTTCCTGTCTGCTAGCTTGCAATGCTTTTGCGGTGGGATCGCTTCGCCTCTGTGTCTTTAATTTTAAATCCTCACATTTTTCAGGTTCCTTTCCAATTAGCCCAGGGGTTACGCCGTCATTTTTCCATCCTTAGGTCTAAGGTTCGCTTCTCGGCTGGACCTTGTTTTTTTAAGTTTATATGCAATTGAAAAAAAGTTTCCGTAAAATATGATTTTTCGGGCTTTCATTTGTCTGCTCAAGTTTTGTCAGCCAAATTGCCAATAATCACGGATTTTGTTCGTGCTTCAAGCAATTTTATTGCAAATGCAAGTGTTTCTTTTGTCAGTTTTTTCGGCTCAACTAGGGTCTGCTCAAAAATTGTCGGCTAAGTTGCTACATTACTGATCTTTCTTGTGCTATAAGCAACTTTCATTATAGTTGCAAATGCAAAAGTTGTTCGTTGTAGTTTCAGGGGACAAAAATGATTTGTGAGCACTGCAAATAAAAGTCAGGTGAATTAAAACTATTTTTCATCAGTGCAGGATGGAGTCAAATACTGAAATAATGCATG